ACTAGTGATGGAAAGTTGGAGGAAGAGATCGACTGGCGAATTGGAGTAGCCAGTGGCGTTCTGCGTGAACCAGCCTGATCCATTGTGACTAAAGCAGGGCTGTGTCTCAAAAGTAGGCTCTCGGTGTTCAAGTCGATCTTTATCCACATGCTTGCCTACCGTCATGAGTCGTGGACCATGATTGAAAAGCTGCGAACCTGGTTGCAAGCTGCTGAAGCGGGCTTTCTTAGACGAGTCGTAGGCCTGACGCATGTCCTGACGTGGTCCGGGTACAGATCTCTGAGAGCACTTAGGCGTACCGCTGTTTCTTGTCGAGATTGGATACGTCTTGCGAATGCTTGCAGAAATCAACGCGAAACCGCTTCGGCTTGTTAGGGCCGAAGCGGTGTCGGATCTGGACTTTTGTTGAAGTCGGTGTCTTGTTTTGATTGATAATTCATCGACATTTGTTGCTTGTCGGTTTTTTGCCGCGGTCGGCACAGGTCGCCTCCTCGTCTCGCCCTTCGCAAAAACTCGTCTCAATAATGCCTTCTCGACACTCGACATTGCGTGCCTGCGCCTTGCCTCGCTTCTCCTCGCCGCACATCGCCTAACTTTGTCTCGCCTGGCCTGGCCTGGCCTCGCCACGCCTCTTCTCTCCTCGTCTTGCCTTGCCTCGCCTCGCCTCGCCTCGCCTCGTCATTTCGAAATCGCTCAGCAGCAAGTCAGGCCACCGCGCCGCTTCGTTGTTTGCTCAACCGATGATGACCAGCGGAGTCAGCCTGTCGGCGGTCCCGCTACCGCGACGCCGCCGTACTACCACCGTCTCGCCATCGTTACCTTTCTTCGTCGCGAACTCCCAGCGACGGCAATTGGACGACTGCCAACCAATAGGCGTTGTCGAACTTATCTTTCCCGCCATTTATCTCTGTCGTATCCGCCCATGCAATGCGCTTACGTCATTTGTCCGACCGCCGCCTAGGTGTTTCTTTGTCGCGCGGTCGAGTCGACGACGGCGGCAGCGGCAGAATGACGGCATCGCATTCGGCTTAACGTTGTTCGATCGACTTCTTAGACGACACATGAGATTCGGTTTTTTACGGCGGCCAACTTTCGTTTCCCTTTGATGTTTCGCTCGGCGCGCCGCGTCCGCTAGACTTCCGCTCGTCGATTCCCACACATTTCGCGCGCGCGCGCGCACACATATTTTTGTTCGCCACCGCTGTTGATCGATTAATGAATGGATCAGTTGATCGATCAATCGATGCGTGCAATCGCCTAGTACACTTGGCTTGGCGAAAATCGTTCGTTCGT